CGCGGGTCTCGGGCTCAGTCCCCAGTGGGGGGCGTGCAGGAGGCAGCCGATCAATGATTCTCTCATCGTTGATGTTTCTCTCTCTCTCTCCCTTCCTCTCTCTGAAATCAATAAAGACATAAAAATAAAAATAAATTTTCTTCAGGCTCTACCTGAAACTCTAAAATAATTTCAAAACTCATAACTGTCCTCTCCTCCCACACATTCTCAGAGAGCAAATGTTTGCATATCAATACCTATACAGCTAAAGGTCACATAAAACCAATTTCAGGACGTCAAAACTGTAAACATCAAGGAATTCACAGCATTCCTGGAATCACATGGGAGGGCCGTACAAGGTCAACAGTGTATATAAAATACACGGACAAAGTGCCTTCCCCTGATGCTCTGACCACTAACATACCACACAGTTTATCTCAACTAGATCGAAAGGTCTGTGGATATCTTCCAAGTCTTCTCATTTAGTAACTTGGAGAAAAAAGAGTAAGTGCATAGTATAAAATACAACTTCTCTCTTCCACTCCTCCAGGAGTGTTTTGGACTGAAGTCCCAGGAATAATACACCAGTAATTCCCAAACTCCGGTCTAGGGACTGATACCAGCCAAGAATGAAGTTGGTATGTTTTTTAATCTAAAGTGCAATGCAAAAAATGAGGACACAACTGGATTTTTCACAAAACTACATGTATTCAATTTAAAGTACCTTCCTTTATTCTGAACTATGACCCTTTATGTGTTTGAAAATGTCTCTTCTTTTATTAAACTGAAGTGATAGGAGACGGTATTTTTAACATCCTTACTTGGCAAAATAGAAGTTGGCAACCTCCATGGAGTATCCAAATAATGTAAACATTTTGCTATTTATAAAACCAAATACTGAGTCTGAGGAGGGAACAGGTTTCCTAGCAAGAGTTGGCCCTGGAGCATGCAATGCTAATCCCCACATTCTGGAAGCTTGTATTTTACATAAATAGTTCGAACAGAAGCAACCTTTGCTCCAGTTCCACTCTAGGGAGGGCTAGGACGTAAGTGTCCCTAACATCTGTCCTAGTTTTTAGTTTTCCTAAAATTGCTTCCTGCTGGTTGTTGAATATAAACATAAAATGACTGGGCTATCATGTCGACCTATTTCACAGAAGACTCTAGAGACAAAACAAGGTGGTGGAAGGATATAACAAGGTACTTTAGAACCCCTAGAATGGCAAAGACGGGAGTGTGTATAAAAAAATTCATTAATAATTTGAACAAAGAGAGTATAAGCAAGATGAGTGAAAGTATAAAACTGTTAACAATGAATTAAGTCTATTGTTCAGTAAGCTGTGAGCTGGTGAGATGGAATGCAAAACGGGAGTTTTTTCACAGGAACAAAACAGGGCTGGGTTCCCGGGCAGTCTCCACAAGCCTATTCATCTAGCTTATCCAAGAAGTACCCCTAACTCAGAATTCAAAAACATCTCTGCCCCAACTCACATGGCTAAGTTTGGAAACGAGGAGGTTAGATGCTCCCAAAGGATATTAATTTGTTAAAGTTCCTTTGTAAACAAAACCAGCAATTCCTTACACCGCTTTGACGCTGACACAGCAGAGAGCTCGGCCTCAAATGGCCCACTTCCTGCCGGAACATACTGGGAAGTTACTCCTCTCAGGGGCCTAAGCGGGAGCCCCAGGGTTCGGCGCCCCAAGCCGAGTCCCATTACACGTTGGTCCTAAGACCGGATCATTCTGAAAATGGGTCATGGCAAACTACGTATTTTGTGAAAATGTACATAAAACAAAATGTACCATTTCTGACATTCTTAAGTGTACAGTTCAGTAGCATCAAGTACATTCACATGTTGTGCAAACCAAATTATGCAACTTACTCTGGATCCCCAAGGACTCTGAAGGCTGTTCATGGCATGTTTTCTTTGCACAAGAACATAGCTTTGCTTCCCACTCCCCAACCTTCCCGTTTTCTAGGGCGTATTCCTAATGAGAGACTTTTGTTTTCTGTATCACAGAACACCAGTGGTATTATAACCCAGGTGCAAGACTAAACAGATTAAATTATCCTGAAGACCAAGCTAAGTCTCACGTCCTATGCATCCAACTTGACAACTCAGTTATCAAAGCAACTATTACATCTGCCTGCATTCTAGCAGAATGAAGACTTCTAATCCCTTCTCCTTAGCAGTGTTTCAAACATACACGTTAACAACTTTATTGAGATATCTCTGACATACAGAAATATATTTAAGGTGCACAACTTGATATTTTTTATGTAAATGTATACACTGTGAAAAAAAAATCACCGTCAAGATAACTGATCCATCACCTCTACAGTTACCCGAGTGTGTGTGTGTGTTAAGATTTAAGATCTACCCTCATAAAAAATTCCTCTGTTTAACAGAAAATACTCAGTGAGGGAGGAACTTGTCATTCACATTACCAGCATGGCTATGTCTTATCAGGAGTAAAAAAAAAGAAGAAAAAACACCCACATACAATTAAAAGCTTTGCTCAAATAACTAAAATCGATTAACTTGCACAACAGAAACACAGTATCAATAGATAGTATAATAGCTTTTGCCTCATCAAGAGATATATAATAGTTTTTATTCTCATCAATCTGCTATAGATGTCTCATCCTAGCAACACCCCATTTTCTACTGTCCTTGCTGCTTATTAATTTTTTAAGATCTTAGGGCACTGGAGTGTACCTAGGACTTTCACGCACTGTCACAAAGCAATCAATGTGTCAAATTTTATTTAATGACAAAATTGAACGTGAACATTTTGACAAGCTCTTCGTTACTTTTCCTTCAAGGCTTGCACATACAGGAACTAGTTCTGCCAAAGGAAACTATCATTTTCCCCATGAATTTGGCAGCTGGTTTAATAATAAAGGAAACACGGTGTCTCGGGCTCCATTTCCATCTCCTATGGCTACGCCGCTGGAAAATGGGGTCTTTCCTGCCCAGTGGCTAGAGAACCACAGCCATCAAGGGGCTCTGACTGGGCGCCCTCGCCACAGGGGCTCCCTCCCCTCATGAGTTAAGGCGGGGACCGTACCCGGATGACCCTAAGAATATAGCTGCAGGGTAATTATGGCGCAGACAGGAGGAGCCACTGAATGAAGCGCCCCAGGGGCGCTGGAGTGGCAAGTTCCGCTAAACACACTGATCATTTTTAAGGCTGCAGTTATCTTTAAAGGAATTTGCAGTGCGTTTTACAGAAATTACTCCAGAGCTCCGGGAATCCCTGTGGGATTACACCAGCACTACAAATTCCTATTTCTTATTTGTAAGCAGATTATTAAATAATGAACTAACCGCTGACCCACCCTGTCAGGCTTGCATCAGACCTGGCTGGCTCCTCTCACAGGCTGCCAATTATGTCACTAAAAATTAACACCTGCTACATAATGAAGACACAGAACAAAACATGAAGTCAGTAAGCTGGCCATTCCCGTGACGCAAGATTTAAAACAGACACCAGGAGTTAAAACTCCGAAGAAAACTAAATGGGGGGGCTCGGCTAACCCGGGGCGCACAGGCCAGCTGTGCGGGGGGGATCCTGCAGCTTCGGCAGCACTGTCTGCTCCGGATGGACTTCTTTCGCAAGCCCAGTGTTTTTATCTTTTCTTGCAATAGAATTTGTAACATTCCTGAGTCAACTAAGGACAAAGACTATCTTGTGAAATTTTAGTGAGAAGCACGCACCAGTCACGGCCGCACGGTCAGTGTGGCTGTAACAGTCCTCAGCATCCTAGGGTCACGGGCACCAAGTGAACACTAAGACAGCGTCCCCGCCGCGCTCACCCGTCACGGCACCTTCCCCAGAGGCCGCGACCGAGTCCACCCGCGTCAGGACGCGTGGGCTTCCGCCACCGGCGCTCGCTGCGCCGGGCGCTGGGCTCAGAACCGCGCTCCGTGAATGCTGACTTCTGACGGTTCTGAGTCAGGTGCCGTGATTCTCACTTTGTAGGTGAGAAAAGCGAGGCTTAGAAAAGCGAACCTGGCAGGGGGCGCGGTGTGAACCCAGAGCCTGACTCAGAGCCCCGTCCCTGCCGGTCGCACATCCTGTCTCCAGAACACTGAAGCCGGTACCGGGGCGGACGCCCGCGGCTCTTCCAGCGGCCAGACAAGTCAGCAGGCTTGTTTTCATCAATTCACACACACTCCACTCGTGAATTTGAACCTTAAATCACACATTTGGGAAAAGTTATACTAAAGTCTCTCTCCACTCACTAGGCTGCCGTGTAAGTAAAACAACTTAGGGAATGAAACTATGAGAAAACTGCGACCTACCTAGTGGTTTCTGTACCTGTAACTCTCACATGTTAGGGTCACACCGCTCTGTTCACACATGGCCACGCTCGAGTTCGCAATGTGCCTGGCGGCCACTACAGAAGCCCACCAGTCCCGTGGTCCTCTAGGAAGGACAGGCTCCTGTGGGCTCTCCCAGTTCCGGGTTCTTAAGGAGGCCCGTCAGAACGAGGTGTGTTCCACAGACACGCGATGCTCACGTGCCCTCGGGCTGAGGATCACCTAGGTGCTGTGCTCTAGGCACATACGAGTTAAGATGGTCAAACTGAATCCCTTCGCAAATACTTCCTGACCATCGGGCCTGGGGCAGCCACCGAGTCACGTTCCACAAACGCAGCCCAGTGACGGCCTCGCACACAGTATCTACTCAATAAACCTGAGCTATTGCTAGACTCCCTGTCGGATGGCTGACCTGAATTTCTTGAATACAGTGAAGAGCAGCTATTCCAAGCTTGTTAATTCCATAACTATGACAACGAACCCAAACCTGCTTCTCTGACTCTATCTCAGGTTGTTCTACCCTTGACGTGGAAAGCAAAGCAGAACAAGTTCCCTTCCTGTTTCACGTAAGAAACTTAACCCATCCCCAGTGGCATTATGACAGTCTCAACGTTGGCCATACCAATGAGAAAGAAAGGAAAGGCCATCATTCTACAATGATGAAACTACTAAAGAAGAGATGGTACGAAAAGGTTTGCATTTCAATAGAACTAGCTTTATTCTTTTTTAAAAAACAAAAGAAATGGTCTAAAAGCAAATGCAGATTTGTACCAAGGGATGGGCATGACTCGGCACTTACAAAGTTGCTGCTGTGTCATAAATGAAAACAGCGTGTTAGGGGAAAAGTAGTATTTCAGGTGCTGTCTGCTTGAGTAATCTGGAGGTGCGAGGTAACGGAGAGGGGGTGCCTGCCAAGCAATCGGCGTGAACAACACCACCAGAGCTGCTCCCAGAGACCTGAGTGGTGGCACCGGCATCAGCTCACAGTCTTCCCGTTCTCCCCGTTTTCCATGATTTTCCTCTTCTTCTCGTCTGTTTTCTTCTTGAAGATGTTATTTCGGTAAAACTGAAGTTCTCTGATGCTTTCGCTAATGTCGTCCAGTGCCCTACAAGCAAACATATTGCACTGAACTGAAATGCCCCAGAACAGTGGCAATGACCCCTTTACAGAGCATAACTCGTATAAATAACTTCACAACAGGCACTGGTGTAAATGCCACTCTCTGACATCGAGAACTGGGACACTTCACCCCGGCCGGTGTGGCTCAGTTGGCTGGGTGTCCCCCCATGCACCAGAAGGCTGCCGGTTGGATCCCGGGCCAGGGCACAGGCCCAGGTTGCAGGCTCAATTCCCGGTGGGGCTGTGCAGGAGGCAGCCGGCTGACTGATATTTCGCGCTCATGTCGATGGTTCTCTCTCCCCCCCTTCCTCCCTCCCTAGGTATCAATAAAAAAATCTTTAAAAAAGAAATTTAAAAAGGGAGAACTGGAACATTTCAGTAAAGCAAATATAAGTGCTTTTTTAAATTGTTTTACCAAAAAAAAAATTTTTTCTAATATATGAGATTTAAAGTTTCCCAAAACAGTTCCATAAGATGGTGAGGTATTCCACAGAAAGAAAGAATTCCAGAGTCAAGGAAGTTTAGGGAAAGCTAGATTAAACATTTCTTTTTTGAAGTCCTTCGCAAAGCATTTAATATACTAATGTGTACTGTGAACTGCCAAGAGGAGGTTGTACTATATACACAGTATTTCTAAAACTTAATGGGCCATATCTGTGGAAAAATTAACAGTTCAAGGAGCAGTCTGGGAAGCACTGAGCAATATTTAGTGACGTCCTTGCACAAAATATCCTGCCATCCTGGAACATAACCCGTGACTCAGCACAGCAAACATCAATTACCAGACACCACCTAACCAGGAAAGAGGTCCAGCCCCCGCCCGTGACGGGCTGTGCGTAATCAGGGGCGGCTGCCTCCGAGCCGCTCCACCAGCTGCTGCTCATGGGCTGTCGTCTCGGATGTCAGGTAACCAAGATGACCAGACGGCGTGCGGGTGAGGCGCTGGGCTCGCAATGGTGGGCCAAGGGCCTCTTCTAGAGGCTGAGCTGCACCGACTTTAGTGTAGGAGTTTTACAACGGGTGCTTCTGTGGTTAAGGTAACATTTTGCTTTCTTCCCAGGTCCTGGATATGTATGGTGGAGCTGAAACTATCAAAAATACCGCCTCTGGCTAAATCAAGGGACACAACATCCTACCCACAATACTGAAATCCAAAAAAGACCTGAAAACCCACAGTACTTTTCTAACCCATAATGTGGTAAAACCTGACCAATACTGAGCTGAGGCAATGCCACTGAGTGTGATTATCTGTACATTTCACTGCAGAAATATCAATGTTTTTTATTATGGGGTGCTTCCTCAGCCCGTTATGGGTATTACATAATAATCACTAAAGCCTGAAAAATTCTGAAATCCAAAATACATCAAGCCCCAATTATTTCAGACAAGATATTCTACCCATGTATTACTGTGCTATAGTCCATGCAAGTCCAATTTTAAAAAACTAATGTCAGACTCTTTAGAGCAGGGATTGGTCTTTTTATGTTTGCCTAAAACTGTCCCCAGCACATAGTGGGAGCACAGTAAATGGATGAACCAAATGCTGCCCTTGGGAGCCAGCTACTAATTCCCCCATCAAGTTTTATTTTCCTTCTGAAAGACAACAAAAATCAAAAAGTAAAAGAGGACACTAAATACATAAGATCTTTAAATTCCTTGTATACTTGTTCCTAAAGTTGCAAACATAAAAGAAACATTCTGAAAAACTAAAAAGTGTCAGAGTTACATTCACTGTAACACACAATGGTGCACAAAGTGTTCTAATTTTAAATGGCTACCAGTTTATATTCTTGGTTGGAAAAAAATTAATGCTCATTACCAGAAAAATTAGTTCTACATACCTACAAACTCGTTCATCTAAAAGTTTTAAAACTGCAGTGAAGACATAAAGCCCTACATACCTCAAAGGAACGCTAGAACCCTGACCAGAATTTCTGGCAGTCTTAGCAAGAGAAAGTCCTCTTTGTGCGAGTTGCCCTCTATTGCCCCCCAAGGAAAAGGGTGAGAAGACGTTATTTCGCGCAGTCAGGAATCCGGCAGGTCAGACTGCCAAGCACTGGAAGGACCCAAACTCACCTGTGCGAAGCAGCCTTCTTTGGTGCAAATTCATATTCTTCCGGGTACCAGCGTCTATACACAGCAAAAACGGAACTCTCAAAGGCAAGTGTCTCAAATATGCTGAGTAACTTTGTAAGCAACTTATTAACGGAAAAAGGCATTCGGGTTGCGACTATCAAGCTGCCTCCTTGCCTGGGCCTCTCTACCTTCCACCCTCTCCTCTCCCCGGGCTATGTATTCTCTTTGGGCAAGCTCAACCATGCCGAGGATTCCGCAGTCTGTCACTCCAGCCCAGCCCTCTCCTGGGTCTGTCACGGACATCCAACTGACCGCTGGGGACAGCACCTGAAAACCCATCAGACACTTCTAATTCAACTATATAAACCACACCCGCTGTCCTCAACACCTCCCTTCCATCTACCGAATCTCTCTGGCTTTCCTCTTTCCCTCTGAACAGTTCTACCATCCACCTAACTGCCCAAACTAGAAACACTAGAACCCTTCATCTCCCTTCCCTTTCCCTGCTTCCCACCCAAGCATTCAACGCCAGCCCCACGACTTCTCTCAAATACTTTACCCCACACCCTCTACCACCCAGCTGCCATCTCCCCAGCTCACTCCTCTCTCCAAGACGGTGCAGAGTCGCCTTTCTTATCACCCTGCCTCTCTTCCTGCCACCTGCTAATAAGTATGATCTAATCCTATCACTCCTCTATTTATTTACACTTCTCAAAGGAAGCCCGCCCTACAAGATTCAGCCTCCTCAGCATGGCATACAAGCCCTTCCTAACTGGGCCTCGCCTCCCCCTTTTTCCAACCTCACGCTTTGCACCCCGGCACTAATGAACTATCTGCAATCCCTTGAACTTGTTTTGTGTCTATCTTCCTGCTCCCTCACATCTTTACACCTCTTCCCGTTCTCCAGAATGCTCTCTTCTCACTTACTACATGGAAAACTTCCACCCTTCTTTAAACCTCAACTTGAAAGTTACTTCCTCCGTGAACTTCTCCCAGTCCCCTCACGCCAGCACTCGGGTGCTCCTTCCCTCGCACCTTCAGCACTCTGTACGCACATTCCCGTTACAGGGTCGACACCTTTCCACCCACTGAAGTCTAAGCTCCTTAAGGGCTTTCCATCTATATGGTCCCAGCACGCAGGCCAACACATGGCCCAGAATGGGTGCTCAATAAATTTGCTGGGTTAATAAAATTCATATGGAAGATTTTTGACACTGTTCCCCCCAATTCTCACTAGTCCAGAATAAATTACGGCCCTGTCCAAGCAAGTATGTGATGAGGAAGTTATACGCCCACTTTGCGTCCAAATTCTACAGCTCTAGTCAATTGCTTTCCACAAATTCTCAATTAAAGCATGCTAAATGAGACAACTTAATGGTTCCTAAATATAGCCCTTACCTGCACAGTTCCTTAACAGTGCTCACATCAATTATTCTATAATGAAGATGTTTCATGAACTGGGGCATGTATTTGTCAAGAAACTTCTTATCTGCATGAACTGAATTTCCTAGAAAGACACGAAGTACACCGCAGCTATGTATCTCTAGTAGTATACAACAGGATATAAAAATTCTTAAACTACATATGTAACGGAGATAATTTTTTTAATTCAAACAAATCCTACAAGCACCTCAGATGTGAGTGCGTCTGATTAGGTTACAAGTGCAGATTCTGAGTATATAGCTAGTCTAGTTCACAAATTTGTAAATGGTCTCTTTCTGGACAAAAAGATAAATCTATCATTCTACATACTTAAAACAATGCACAAATCTATCTGTTACTTTTTTATATCAACCAGACATGCAAATTTTCTCCCAATGTCACAAAATCCACACTAACACTAAAAATTTAACTTTTAATGAATCACATAAGTTGAAACCTTTATTTACATTCCAGTTTTAACAAACCATATCACTCATGTTCCCGTACAGTAATTTATATTAAAAACACTAAATTTTAAATGAGAACTGCAAAACAGACACCAGCTACATTGGCAAGGGGGAAAATTTATACAATATGTGCTCTAATATTTAATGTCAAAACTTTTTATGAATGTTTAAGAAAAACGTTAGTTACTATATCAATTTACACATACAAATTCAAATACATCTCCATAGAACATTAGCTTCCCTGACAAGGCAGTGCTTTCAAAAACCTAGAACTGGCTTGGTTTCTTTAAAAAGTCAATGTCACGAGGGGAAAAACACAGGTGGACCTTTTAGAATAAGAGACTAGAGACATAATAACCAAGTGAAATGCATGAGCCTTGATTAAACCCTGGTTCAAAAACAATTAAACCTTTAGAATGTGGACCAGATATCAGCTGAAGTTACTAAATTATTTTTAATTATCTTAATGTAATAATGCTATTGTGGTTACATAAGAAAATGTCCTTACTCGTAGGAAACGTCTGATGAAGTACCATGGTGCCTGCAATTTACTTTTGAATGACCAACAAAAAATAGAGAGGTCAAACAAACGTGACTTATGTGAGGTTAACAATCACTAAATCCAACTTTTCTGTACATTTAAAAATTCTCCATAATAAAAATATGGGGGAAATGTTTATTGAGTTAGTCTGAGTACCCCAGACCTCATATCAGGTTTCAGGGCATTTTCCCATTATTCATGTATAAATTATACACAAAAGAAAGATATATAATCCAAATCAGGGCAAGAGGCCTGGCTGGCGTGGCTCAGTGGTTGAGTGACCTATGAACCAGGAGGTCACAGTTCAATTCCCGCCAGGCACACGCCTGGGTTGTGGGCTCCATACCCCTGGATCCCCAGTAGGGGGCGTGCCGGAGGCAGCCAATCAATGACTCTCATCACTGATGTTTCTCTCTCTCCCCCTACCCTCCTCTCTCTAAAATCAATAAAACATATTTTTTTAAAAAAATCAGGGTGAGTGGAAGACATGATGGTCTTGGCTGATCTTTCTGGAACTGCAGTCTCTAAACCACTAAAATAGATGACTACCTACAAGGCACACATAGGGTTGAATTTTACCTGCAAGTGGACAGAGCCCCGGAGGAGTCTGCTGTCGTACAAAGGACAGAAATTCATATTCTGCCTGCTGCAGTGTCATTGTACTCTCCTTCACTGCTTTGGTTAGACCAGACTGCAAGAGAAAATCCCCAGCACCCACCAGAAACACATGAAGTCAGTTTTCAAAGGCATCAAAAATGAAACTTTACTTCTAAAATGAGCAAATATTTAGGCCATTTACAGAGCCCCAGTTTAAACTGAAATTGCCATCTTTGCACAGATTTTTTTTCTTAAGAATCCAAGTCAAATAAGCTCTGTTCCCGATTGTTAATAGCATTTCCAGTCAAAAGAGGTGGTACTTGAAGTCCAAGGATATAACCTCTGGGGAGAAACAGCTATTAACAGGAGAGCAGCTTTCCCACTTGTCTGAAAGTTGGTGTCTAACCTTATCCAAAAGACTGATCTGAGCAACACTTGACCATCCACAACGCGGGGGCGACAGACTGAATGCAGGAGAGGAAAAAGGAGGCCCTCCAGGAGATGATCTCGAAAGGTCCCAGAGATGAAAAATAAACACAAAAGCAGCTTCCCAGGCTCGCCAAGCAATCTTCCGCTACCCCGTTTTAAAATACCATCCAACAATGGTATAGGATTCAGACGCGGGTACTCATGCCCAGGGCGGGAATCCTGTCATTTGGTAGTGTTACCTTCCCATGATGTTCCTTGCACCAATCTGACATGCTGTCCAGGAGCTCATCCGGCTGTTTTATGATCAGGTTAGGGCCCTGCAGGTGGGAGAAGCCATTAGTCATCCAGAATCAACAGGGATCACCTTGGTTTCTGAGGTCAAGTTTAAGCTGCTTTAAGGATTAAATAGACATACCAGAGAAAGTAAGAGGTGAGGGCACTTGATTAACTCAAAAAGTGGTCCTCATTCATTCTAGCACTGTTTCTAACAGCAAAATAGAATAAATGGGCACACACACATACACACACCATTGAAAACTAAAAAGCTTATTAGGAGAAGAAATAGGTATCAAGGGTCGGCAAACTATAGCCCAGCCTGTGGCTTTTTCTGCTTTACTGCCAGCAAGCGAAGAATGTTTACATTGGTACAGAGTTGTAAAACAAACAAATGTACAACAGGTATGCGGCACTGCAAGCCTAAAATATTTACTAATTGGTCTTTTTAAGAAAAGTTTGCTGACCCAATTATGAGTTCATTTTGAAGTGTCTATATTGCCAACTGAAAAAATCAAATTGCAGACCAGTACATATATATATATTTCACCTACATTTGCTCAAATATACATATGCGCATTAATATATGCATATGAAATACCAAGAAAATATATAAAGTCAGGGGAGCATTATGGGGCAGAAGAACACGGTGAAAAACCAATCGCTTACTACATATATCTTTTGGATAAAATTACACTGTTTAACTGTGTTTTCATATTAAAAAATTAAAAAGGTAATTTGGTGACAACTGAAAAATAAAAGTGGCCTTTGAATTCTCAGCTCCATTTCATAGAACATTCAACTGTGAGTCTCCTGGATGGGTCCCAGCAGTAACAGAAGCCCAGCTCTGTGGCACTACAGCAAGTCACCTTCGCCTCAGTTTCTTCTGTACAATGGATATAAACTGCCCCCTCCCATCAAAAGGACGTTTTATTAACGTCCTATAAGAAATTATAGATATGAAAGTTCTTTGAACTCTCTAAAAGAACAGTACTGTAAATCCCAGGTATTATTACTACTAAGGTGGTAAAAGCATTTTGCAGTCACTGAAACAAATGGCTAAAATTTTACTAAAAGATGCCTAGAACAAAAAAGGAGTTTTAACCTAACAAGAAAACTGGGAATGGCAATCTCCACGAAGCAGCAAAAAATTTGCTGATATATTTTTTAAAAAACCAAACCTCATATTGTAAAATATGGCTCTAACCCTAGCCAGTTTTGCTCAGTGGTCAGATCATCAGCCCGCCGGACTGACGGGTCCCAGGTCCGATTCCAGCCAAGGGCACAAACCTCAGTTGCAGGCTCGATCCCGGGCCCTGATGGGGGCTCGTGCGGCAGGCAACCAATCGATGTCTCTTTCACATCAATGATTCTCTCTCCCTCTCCTCCCTTCTCTCTCCCCCTTCCGTTCTCTCTGAAAAGCAATGGAAAAAATATCCTCAAACAAGGATTAAAGAAAACAAACAAACGGCTCTAGCAAACTGATGAAAAAGTTAACTACTGTCAATCTAAGGCTAACTTAGTCTAGATCCCAGTAAGCCACCCCCACAGAAAAATTTTTGGAGTGTGATGTTTGTTCTCACCAGCATAAAACATTTTCCCTCAAACCCATAGACAAAAATGAAACCTATTTTCCACAGAGCTGATGCTGAAGTGCCCACAGCCCCTAAGCATTCTTTAGCACCCTTACCCTCATCTGACTCAGTCTGTTTACAAATGTCACACATCCACAGCTGGGGAGCAGAGCCAAATTTCCTCCAGGGTACACATCCTAACTGGTCCATTAAAATGTCGCTATTTCCCATGACATCAACAGTCTAAGGAAAAACCTCCTCGTCAGCCAAGGGTAAGCAGGGCTGGTAAACACAGACACTTCTCTTCACTATTCATCTCTAGTAAATTCTAAGTGACAGGATAAAACAGCCAAACCTAAAACTCAGGGCTTTGTTTATTTATTTAAATAAGTCTGTTTATTTAAAGCAGTTGTTTTTTTTAAAGCTAGTTGTTACAATGACAAATACAGTCTACTGATTCTCCTCCAGCTGATCTATCAGGAGGTACTCCAGGACACATGCCCAGGGCTCCACGACAGAGTAATTCCTCTATAAATGCCCTCTCCCCTCTCTTACCTCCCCAAGAAAGTCAGTCTTAAGTATAGGTTTATGAAATTTATCCAGTGCCAGTAACACATCAATCGTACCCTCTGGGAACTTATTTTAACAAGACTGTCTTTCCCACAAATACACCTACTACGTTCCTACCTTAGTCTCCCACTGCCTCTGACCACAGCTGACGATTTGAACACTGTTCTTCCAGGCCAGGGGTTTCATCCCTACCAATCAGGTGCCGTCACACACTTAATTAAATGTTTCATGAGTGGCCCAAAGACAACAGGTGTGTTTTATTTGTTTTGTTTAATGTTTTAGTTAAAAGCAGCATGTTAAAACTTTAATCATGCCTAGTGTCAACAAGAAAGATTTTCTGATTCTGCATCAACAGATTTTCTAAAATCTTAATACAGATCTAGAAAAATCACATCCTAGTTGAAAAGGCAAAACCTGCATATATGGAGTCAAGTTAAATTTAAGGTTATGATAGAAAGATGTCATCTTTGGCATGAGTCGCCAATCCTGATGGGACTGTACAGCTGGTTGTCTTACTGGTTAGGGGCACTTTACTCAGCCTCCCTGGGTTAAACCCCTGGCTCCTGCAATAACTAGTCAGGCGGCTTTGGGTAAATTACCCAACATCTCTGCGCCCATATGTCCTCCTCTATAAAATGAGTGTAACAGTACCTACCTTATGGCCGTCGTTAGGATTAAGAGTGAATTCATGTAAAGCACTCAGAGCTGTGCCTGGCACACAGTAGGTGCTCAGTAAATGATAACATTTCTGTTTCCGTAATTTGGGGCACAGCTTATTGAAAAATAACTAGGCTGTGAGATGAATTACTTTGGTTCTAGTACCAACCCTACCACACATGACCTAGCACATTACTTTGTACCTTATTTTTTAAACAAAGAGATAGGGAAAAACAATCCCTGGACCCCCAATACACTCTCAACAGTACAGGTTATTACAGGGCATCCCGTACTTCAGCCAAAATGTTGAGATCAGAGTCGGTTATCAGACAGGCCATCTCAATAATCTGGTCCTTCTCAATGTCCAATCCTGTCATCTGTAATAAAAAATAAATATATAATACACACAAAACCATCTTTCTGGCCTATTTTACCCAAGTTTATTTAACAGGAATTCCCTTAAGCAAATTCAATTCCTATCCCACAGTAAAGACAGAAGAGATAATAATGCTCCTTGGGCAAGCCCTCAAAGCATTAAACATTAGTCATTTACTCCATAAACACTCGCCGAGAGCCTGCGGTAGGTCAGGCAGCCTGGCCCTGGGGCAGACGCAGACCGCGCCGGGCGCGGGAGCTCGCGTTTGGGAAGAGAGATAACTAGTATCGCCGCGTCTCTGCGAGTTTACAAAGTTTTCACGCTGCTGACACCACCTGACCTCCACCGCAATCCAACGCAGAAAGTACCGGCATCACCCCCATTCCAGACACGAGCGAGG